CAATAAGTTACACTATATATTCCATCATATTTATGCCTGTTGTATTCATGCACACAAACACACACACAGAGGCAGGAGTATGTAGTACTTGCTAAAATATTTTTAAAATGTTTGTTTTCTCACTGTTGAAGATACCATCTTACTATAATCTAGTGTGAGTGATTATTACCTTCAGGAAAGTATTCAGATGCAAATTTTTTAAAAAATAAAATAAAATACCCCCCCAACAATGTTGGTTTAATTCAACAATCCTTCCCAATTAAGCAGTTAACCTAAGGACAATTTGGAAATGTATGTCTTCATAAGTGGAATTACATCTGCAGGAATTAGAAATGGGCAGTTTTCTAATGTTGGCATCTAGTAAAGAGCTGTGATTATGTTACTGGAACTAGAAAAGTAACTGATGCACATTGAAACCAATGCACAACAAAACTGATAAACAATAGAACTGATGCACAACAGGACTGATGAATATTGGGACGAATATGCATTGCTCCTACTGTGCATCAGGACCAAGCTGTACCAACACACATCCAAACAATCTTACTGGTGTCCTGTTATGCATCTTTACAATTCATTAACATGGTTTCTTAGCACGTCTGCTACATAGCTAAGTATATGTAAAGTTACATAATGAAGTCTGTGATAGAGGATTCTGGCCCATATTATTTACTTAATTATTTATTTAGGCTGAGATTCTGCATCAGATGCTATGGCACATAACTTTATGATGATGTTAACATGCTTGGAGAATTGTAATGGGTCACATCAGGTTGTGTCACAAAGTGGCATGAGACCACAATATTATTAGCACATCCTGCATAGCTTGTGCCATATTTGGGGTCCCCATCTTTTCATATTTCATATCTGGAGCCAGCATGTTCTTAAGAGGTTCTGATTACCTTTTTTAGAACACTGAGGTTCCAGGAGAAAAGGAGCAAAGACCCGAGGGCATATGGATGATCCATTTGATAATACCATCAAGGCTAAATGGGTGTACTAATTGTTAATTCTTGGGAAAGAACATCAAACCTTTGTTACCTTACAAGATAGCAGATCCCCAGAAGCTAGCTTTCAGGTATAAATATTAGTCTCAAAAACCTAGCCTCTGTGCACACCATACACATACAGTTGTCCTGGACTGTGCTGCATGTATGTTCTCTGTTGTCCTCAGACCTCAGTCTGAGCCAGTCCCACTTTTTGTGGTTGACTCTTCAGACAGGTAAATATTGCCCTCTTTAAGCCACTCAATCCCCACTAACCAGTTTCCATAGTTCCATTTTGGTTAGCTCTGAATGCTGTCTCTCTCTCTGTGTTTCTGAATGTTGCTATCACTTTGTATTTTTCCAAATACATTCTTCTTAATTCACCCAAACCTGGAGTCCTCCTTAGTTATTACCGGCATGCACAGGTGCCAACACTCCTAAAGGTTACCCAGCCTCTTGCAAAGCTAATTTCCACAACATTTAAGGCAACATTAACATATTGGGTGGGGACCTGTCCAGCCTCCACCTTCATTTGGGTAATAGTAGGGATAATAATAATAATATAATAATAAAATTTATTTATATCCTGCCCCTCTGCAAAGCAATCAGGGCAGCTTACAACACTAAAATTAAACAAAGGCTTACAATACAATACAATAAAATCACAACTCAAAGTCCCACCCATCCAACCCAAAGTCCCACCCACCCAAGTTAGTGCTGGCTCCTCTTGCACAATGGTTCCAAAGATATCACTACAGATCTTCTCCTCTCCCAACAATACACATGTTGTGTATTGTTGCAATACACATGTTGTGTGTTTGCAAGTCAGTTTATGATGGCAGGAATACCTAGCAGGATGCAAACCTATATTTATTCATATCCTACCTTTCCCCCAGTTTTGGAATCAAGCCAGTAAAAAAATAAAAACATCAAAAACATAGCTGAAGAAATAACAGTTAACAACATACAAAAGTTTAAAATGTAATTAAACTATCAAAATGTTAAAAGCTGTTAAAAACATAAGTGATTAAAAAAGGGAAGGTGGAACAAATAAGAACTCCAGCACATTATATAAGGCCCTTTCCCCTTGAGCTATCAGTCTGTCAAGGCCTGTTAAAATAAAAAAAGTCTTTACTTGCCTGTAGAAAGAAAGGAAAAGTTTTTTTTTTAAATAACCAGTGCCTTGTTAGATTTCTTCCTCAGTATCTATGCCTTTTGAATAAATGTAAAATGCTTTGAAGAGTGACTAAATGTGTAGGAATTTGGAGAACAGAATGAAACTACTGTACCTCTTGAGAGTGTCTGGGGAAGTCTTTTTTCCTTCTTGATTGCCATTGCAAAATTGGAGGAAACAGCAATTAATATGAAGGATAAACCCAAGGCTGAATGCATCTTTCTTTCTTTCTCTTCCTTCCTTCAAGATATCCCCAATAATAGAAAACAGAACAAATTCTTTAAGTGTGTATTTTTCTAAGGAATTGTGTTTGCCCATGTGATTAGAAAGATATTCATTTGTTATAGTGAAACGTAAATCTCCTTTCTAACAAACTACGTAAAGTGAACCTATTTATT